TTTTAGATGCTTGGGAAAGCTTTTATCAAAAGTGAAAATGATTGAAGTTGTACAGCGTAAAGGACAGTCCACACATTACTAAAACTTAAACAAACTACGTAATTTTATTTCACTTTAATGCTTTTGTTATTTCATATTTCAAACGCCTCATCAGTTTGTCCACACAAAATTCCGATCTTTTTGTATAAATAACAAATGGATCGAACGATTTATTTATTTTCTTTATATATGTATTACGTCAGAACTGTTACCTCATTTTGTTGTGTGTTCATTTTCCGCGTATTTGCACGAAATTTATATCCAAAGATCTCTAGTTGCCTCATCATTTTGTCCATTAGTGTACCTAAAAGAATGATATAATTCGTCTTTCTCTTAAACCTCCCATTTATTGAATCCTTAAAACCGCTGTATTTTTCAGTTACGATATTAAAAGGTCTACAAGTATATAACAGAAGTCTCTAAAAGTGCTATAAAAATTTCCAATTTCATTTCCATTTCACGGATACATTTAACAATTCGAAAATGGGAGGTGCGACGAGAGATTGGCTTTATTCGATGTGGACGAGCGAAATGAATAAATTAGTTTGCTTCTATTTCCAGTAGGACGAGAAAGGAGCTGCCACCGAATGGCCTGGAATGGGGTGGATGCAGCGCGGACGTCACCTACGGGATGAGGTAAGGATAATTAAGCCTGATTCGTAATGAATTCGTCGGCGGTACGCGCGCGCGCGCGCGCGGATCCATTTCGCACGTGTCACGTGCGTGTAAAACCTGCATGACGCGTTGCACGTCACTACAGATGTTATACACGCATGAATTTTAATATTACAATTTAATGTTAGGTTCGCGCGTAGGTTTCTGGACGCGAGGGAAGTCGAGGGCGACGCGAGGAGCCTGATGAACCTTCATAATAATAAAGCTGGAAGGAAGGTGAGTAACGGCTGTTATTGTTCATATATTGCGCGGGCTTAACAATCGTTTAAAGTGGCCGTAATGGAAATTCGAAAAAAATCCGGGGATTTCCGACCTTTTAACGGCACTTTACAATTTTGTTTGGCTTATACGACCGTTGAAGGCCGAATCAGGTATTACCCTCGCGAAAGAAAAACAAAGTAATTACCCCGGTGACGTTGTAAATATTATTCGGTATTAGGCTTCAAGGATTTTCTCGAAATTCCGGTTCGGCGGACACAGGCTTTCTAATTGCAGGGATTTACTTGCGACCCGTATCTCGGTACTGTAATTAATAAGAAATCACTTTTGTGTAAATAATCATCGAATTTATTTATGTTACAATCTAACTAATTAGATTGCGGATTTCATGCACTTGTAAAAAGAAACGAGTGAATGATACACAAAACATTGACACTATTAGAATTATTTCGATTATATCATTTCTAACTCATTAAAATGATTGAAAACAGAAATAAATTGCCACGCGTTTCTTGTTTCCTGGATTCGATGCACGATATTTTTATTTCACATAAAAATAGTAAAATAGAAATACAGAAACAAATAGCGTTACTGAAACACTCGCCGCGCGTACAGGTAGATTATCGTTCTCTTAAAATTATTCTGCAGTTTCGCATACGTTTTCTCATTGATCGAAGCTCGCGATTAAATGTTAAATAACTTTCGATCAATTTATCCCTAACAAAAAAGTCTGAAATATTAACATTTCACGAACCGGCTCGATTGTCGAGTTAATGATACAAAATAATGATTTTCGATCGATGAATAATGCTAATTCGTAGATCGAAGTAAGTAAAGGACGGGGTAGACGGTCGACGCGGAATATTTGTGAGATGGGACCTCGCCGCGAGGGTAATCGTTGCGGCGCGGCGTCTTAATTGGGAAAAGTTCATCGAGCTTTCTCGTCTTCACCGATGGGCTTTATTATCGAGGCGGCAATAAAAACGCGCATATATCGTCCGGTGGGAGCGTGCGTACCGCGCGATCCGCCGCGCATCTAGACGTGTGCGCACGGCTTACGATTTATTCCGGACGTCGATCGCCTCGCCGCACCGCATATTTTATGACCGGGCGATTTTTTTCGACCCGGCTGAGCCTCTTTCTTTCTCCCCCTGCCCTCCCCCCCCACCCCTCTTTGTTTCTTTGTGTCGATATGTTGAAATATAAACCAGTTTTTAACTGTGCCCCGATCGATGCACAATGAATACAAAGAAATGCGCGCACGTAGTTAGAACGGCTCGCGTCGCCGTTGTAACTTCGCGCCGATCGTTCGTGCGAAAAGATCTCTCGTACGAGACACCGATCCCGTAAATTAGCCATAAACATTTTCGTTCCCTCGGCCGGCAACGGTGGAAATTACGATGTCCTTTCCCCGCACGTTGAAACAAACACCGCGTCTACCCTCGAAACACCCGGAGCCGTGCAAACGCAATAATCACACGTTCATCTGCTAATGCTTCCCGATGCTGTTCGTGCAATTTCAAATGTAAGATTATTCGAAATTACACGGCGCGCGTACACGCGATACGATTTCCTTGCGGTTAACGCCAGTATTGTTTCTTTGCAGATAGTTAAAGCCCTCCTGCAAACGGAATGCAAATGCCATGGCGTGTCCGGCTCCTGCACCGTGAGAACCTGCTGGCGAACATTGCCTAGTTTTCGCCAGATCGGCGACGCCCTCATGAAAAAATATTACAGAGCCAGGCCCGTGGTAGCAATTACCCCGCCGCCACCCCCGATAATGCAGGTAATTTCGCGGAACTGGGTCGAAGCTTGTACAGCGGCGTCGCGCAATCCATCGGATTACAATGTTGCGATTTCCGATCGCTGCATCGCCGAGCTTTTAACGCTACGCCAACTGAACAACAGTCGTCGCTGGTACTTTACTGTAAGAATAATGAGATGAAATTCGTTTTTTTGGAGTTCGTGCTGTTTTTATTGTTGTTATCGGACTGCGACTTGTGTTACACGTGTACTAATATTTGTATAGATCGTTTAATAAAACCACGTACGGGGAACAATTCAAATTTCAATTTTACCAATTAGAAAATTTCTTCTGGCAAAAATGAAACAGCGACGCCACTAATATTTGTTCATTTGCAATCTGATAATCATGCTCGGGTTAAATATGTTGAATCTTGTTGAAGAATCTTTATTTCTACAGTTATTATTGGGTTGGCGACTAAGTAATTGCCGATTTCAGTTGTAGATGTCTCTCACTCCCATTTTTATGATATCCGTAAATGTTATGTTATAAAATTATTATTATTATTATTATGTTATTTTTGATTATCCGTGAATGTTAGCAACTGGACAAATCGAATGCAGCGGTCAAGGAAAAGCGACCAGAATTGGTCGATCGTAAAGGTGTCATTTTCCAGCAGAACAATGCTAGGCCGCACACGTCTTTGTCCACTCGGCAAAAATTGATAGATATTGGTTGGGAATCGATGTTACACTCACCATATAGCCCTAATCTCGCGCCATCGGATTATCACTTATTTCGATCCCTGGACAACTCCCCTCGTGGTAAAACTTTTAACGACGATGACGCTGTAGAATCTCATTTAACTCAGTCTTTGGCCGAAAAGGATCAGACTTTCTACGAGCGTGGAATTTTCAAGTTGTCGGAGAGATGGCAAAAGCTCATCGAACAAAATGGAAAATACATTACAGATTAAACTTCGTTCCAAGTAAAAAAAATTTTTCATTTCATTGAACAAATCGGCAATTACTTAGTTGTCAACCCAATATATTTGAATCCGTAAAAAGAATGAACAGACTGAACTGGTAATATTATTGAACACGTGTGAATGTAACTACATACACGAAGACGTAACCCCGTGCACCCTATTGCTGACGTTCGTCATTGTTTGTGCTCATTAATACCGTTTTCATTATATAATAAAGAAAATCGGGAAAAGAAACGAACATTCATATATTTCATTCATCAACACATTCATTTCATTTTTCTCGCTAACATTTACATTCTTCCCTCGCCAGAATAACATTTTTGACCATCCAGAACTCTAGATTTAGTAACACATTTGATATTTTTTAGAAAAGAAATCGAGATCGAACTTTCCGGTTACGATCTTATTAACGAAATTACTTTAATATTTTTGAGATCCGTTGTGGTTGATATTCGATTGTTCCTGATACCACCAAAACGTGGTACATATTTGGAATACTATTGTAGTAGTATTTGCAATACTAACAATGTGAAACAATGTTGAAAGACCACATTCGGGGTTACCCGTGTCTTCGATTTACTTATCATTTATTTATTTATTTCCGAATGTAGAGTCTAGACACGCTGCACTTGACGTCTGCGGAAATGTCGCCGATTCTGGGGAACGACGCGAAAACCCAAGGGAAACCGAACGACGTCGGCAAGTCCCGGCACGACCGGCAACCCCCGAAGAAAGCAATTAAACCGAGACGGCCGCACCTGGTGTTGAAACGGACGAAATCTAGCGGCGGATCGGCCATAGGACAGAAAAGAATTCCAAAGAGAAGCGAGTTGGTTTTTCTGCAACCTTCCCCTAATTACTGCGAGCCGGATTTGGCTCAAGGCAGCCTGGGAACGCAGGGCAGATATTGCAATCGGACCAGCAAAGGTAGAACGAATGAAATCGAGCCGAATGCCAAACGCGCGGTTCCGACTGGAAACGCACCACACGCAACGACATTAACCGACACAATCGACCAGATAACAATGAAAATAAGTTGCTTGAAACGTGGAGCAACTTGGTAACAATCGGAATCACGCACAATCACGCGCACAATCTGAGCGTCGATTGGGGAAAATTTATTGAACATGCATGCAACACCATTGGAAATAAATTGTGCAATCCCGACGTCGTCAATATGTCGGCATTCGTCCTGAAAGGATTAAATCAACAAGTTATATTTTATAGCCGGATTCATATTTTCATAGACAGTTTGAAATAAAATTAACTGAAACTGTTGTTAGCCCGCTGGTAGATCTACGTATTCGGAATAAAATAATTCAGCTGATACGAACGTTTCCTTTTATTTTACAAGATGCATAACGTAAATGCGAATTAAATTCATAGACCGCGGATCTTCATGCAAAATAAAAATTGTCTGCATCGATAGCAAGACAAATGAGCCAAGTATAATATTCATTCTCTTTTTTAAATGATTTTAATAAGTCTAAATTGATACGTCAACATTCTGAATTTCATCTGATCTTTTCTCTGTTACAATTTTCATCATTTCATTTTTGTCATAAACGCATAAAATCTACAGTCTACTTGTGACGCGCGTCTTACAAAACAGGCAAAAACACGAATGTTCCGTCAATCGCGGTTCTCAGAACATTGTTCGAATAGAAAGAATCAATTATTTACAATAGGGTTCGTTGGCTTAGAAAATGAAATTCAATTGAGCAAAACACATTTTTTAGAAATCACTCGTCCACCATAATCCTTCCATTATTCAGCAACTCTGCTCATTTCTCGAAACTTTTTTGTCGAATCTTCGGCCGATGCATTACTCGAAAAATCGATTGGACACGATTGATGTTCATATGAAAATGTTGACATTTTTCAGGAACAGACGGATGCGATCTGATGTGTTGCGGCCGCGGATACAACACGCACCAGTTCACGCGAACGTGGCAGTGCAGATGCAAGTTTCACTGGTGCTGCCGAGTGCATTGCGAAACATGCACCGAACGCACCGAGGAGTACACATGCAAATAAACATTCCGACTCTGTAATACGCTGATAGGTTCGGCATACAGCGATGTAAATAGACGCCGTGAAATCGTTGAATTCACGAAAGCCGATTTTAGATCGTTCGGCTGCGGACAATTAAACGTTGGTAGAAATCTCTGTAAAGTTAACGCGCATGATAGATAATAGCGAGCTAATTCTATGCTTAATTGCGATTCTCTGGCGAGCTTTGTAAAATGAACTTCTCTTATTTAACGTAACGAACGATGCTCCTAGCACGTAATTTTCTAGAATGATAGTCTGTGAACGTGTATCTTTGTTGCTACGATCCGTAAATCGTACATCGTCTCGAAAAAATCTAAAATTAACGACTGAAGAAGGATCGCTTCAAAGAAGAAGTCGACAGAGCTTGAGTTACCATGATGGGATTTCAGCGAGATTTCGACAATAAATTAGATTTCGGTGAAAGTATTATTATATTAACTATACAGTACGTATTTGTACCCCTTCTAAGTACCCCTCACTGTCTCGCTTCCTTTCTTCGGGTTTCCCGAGGATATCTGATTCACCATCCTCGTTCCTCCGATCCTCAACCCTTCTGAATGGTCCCCATGCACGAAAATACTCAAAGCGAAAGGTTGTTCTTGTAATGTCGAGATCGAGCAACAATGACGATTAAAAACTTAACTGTAACCTGTTAGCTCGACGAACGATGAACGTACAAGAAACGTGTTCCACGCGCATAGGCTAATCAACGGCGTCGACATAATTAATGATAAACGATAAGGAACTCTGTAAAAATGCTCGTCCGCGTTACGGAATCCTCCGAATAGGATAATAAAACATACCTCCGTCGTTAAATGGATCTGTATCGAAATACGCGAATAATTATCGCTGTCCCGCAACAGCCCAGTGTTCTCAATACAGGTTTTCTATGTTTTGTAGAGTACATAAATTATTATTTATTCAAGAAGCGACCGTAAATTATAAACGCAAGCGGTGTATTTGCTTTCTTCGATGACTAATAAACGAAATTGCATTTTCCCCCGAATCATGGTTTCTTATCTTTCCTACGTCATCGTTAACAAAATCGTTGTTGTGTCAATTTCGACAACGTTCCAATCGCTAACGGTACACCTGACGAAAGTTCTGTGTACCTGACGAAAGTTCTGTATACCTGTAAACTGCGTCCGATGCATGGGGAAGCTGTAATTGCCGGGGACAAACGGACTGCCGAGAAATTTGCCCAGGTATTTACACCCTTGCCGCTATTAGCCGGAAGGGAATTACTGAATTTCGCACGCAAAAACGTGACGTAGTAGGACTGTACCGAGGGCAATAAACGTGAACAATAAAGGTCACCTTATCGGTAAGGGATCCGGGGACTATATAAGATTCGATTTTCGAAAAGACCATGTATTTTTCGTTTGGAGACGGAGCAGTGTACTTCGACTAGATATTCGATTGTTTGTTTCACACTTGTTCGGTACTTTCGGTAAAAATTTCGTCTTGTTGTTTTTGAAAAGTGATACATCCTTAGTCGTTTTTACAATTAGTGATCGACAGCTTCTCTTGTTTTAAAAAGGTGTGTGTGATACAGTTTATAACGTAAGTGACATTTTGAAGTTCAGAAACAGATTGAAATGAGAAATGTGGCAAATTCAATCGTTCTACGAAACTGATATTAAGATCGACAGGTTTAAACTTATTTCAAATTTGCATTGTTTTGTTGCAGATTTTTCGAGCCGAGTGTAAAAAATTCAAATGGAAGACCATCGTATGTGTGAAGAGTTAGAAGCACAGATAGCACCTCCGGTAGGTGTACCGCCAGACCATGTGTTACTGCGTGCCATGTGCTACTGTGGAAGGACAATATATGAATATCCACTTCATCCAGATTTGTTAATGGCGCAGATTCGAAGGAGGAACCAATTATATCACGACACTTCAATATATAACCGGCCGCGGCTAATCCGAGAAAAATATACGGAATTATACCGCCCGTTCGTGGGTCTAAGTGAAAAGCTGCGCGCGCAACGGTAAGGATGCCGGGAACAATATGTATAAGATTTCGGTTTTCTTAAAGACCATGTATTTTTCGTTTGGACACGGAGCAGTGTACTTCGACTAGATATTAAATTATTTGTTTCACACTTGTTGGATACTTCGTAAAAATTTCGTCTTGTTATTTTTGGAAAGTGATACATACTTAGTCGTTTTCACAATTAGTGATCGACAACTTCTCTTGTTTTAAAAAGGTGTGATACAGTTTATAACGTAATTGACATTTTGAAGTTTGGAAATAGATTGAAATGAGAAATGTGGCAAATTCAAACGTTCTACGAATCTGATATTAAGATCGGCAGGTTTAAACTTATTTCAAATTTTCATTGTTTTGTTGTAGATGGGGACCGTTTGTCAGAGACAGACCAACTGGTAAAGACGCGATAAACAGACCAACTGTTAAATACGTGATGAACATACCAAGTGTTAGAGACGCGAGAAACAGACAAACTGTTAGAGACGCGATAAACAGACCAACTGTTAGAGACGCGAGAAACAGACCAACTGTTAGAGACGCGAGAAACAGACCAACTGTTAGAGACGCGATAGACATACCAACTGTGGAAGATGCGACAGACGGACCAACTGAGGGAGATGCGATAAAGAGACTAGAAGAGTGATACCACAAAGGCTGACGGAGTCTGATGTGACTGACTAAGCAGGTCCAACAGAAATCGTCGTCTAATCGTGTATATATAAATTACATTCTTTTCTTTATTATTAGTATAGTAATTTTCGTTTACTAATGTATATTATTTTTCACTATGTATAAGGGCATAAAAATATCAAATATATAAAATGTTTCTCACATATTTCTTTTCTTTATAATTATATATTTTCTTAACTGATCGTATAACAAAATTGTTATGCATGAGAAGCTCATGATGTAGTACTTTCTAAGCATTNATAACAAAATTGTTATGCATGAGAAACCCATGATGTAGTACTTTCTAAGCATTTGTATACCGTCTGTAAGTTGATAATATATTATAAAAATGTATCACAAACGCGCAGAGTTTATTTTTTACCGAAATTTAATATATGTATACCTATTCGTACCGCGACCTGTCGAATGACCGATTTTTATAT